TGAAACTGTGTTGTTGGTTTCCTCCTATTCTCGTCTTTTTTGTGTCTCCTCCATCGGTGGCGGGAGGAGGAGGAGCACGCCAGTGACGTCGTTTCCCAGCTCCACCCGCGTGACCGTATGAAGAGTCACTTGGTCCATTGCACCACTCATATCGAATGCACCTCCCATGCTGAGGAGAGGCGTACCAGTGAGGAAGGCGCAATGTTCCAGATGACTCCTCCCACGTAATCAACGTGAAGCGCGCCTATAATTCATGGCAGTTAACAAATGTTTACTTGTTTAGTGCATTCCTGGCTGTCATCGATGGGACTACCAAACGGCTCTTCAACAAAGCCAAACGCTGGTACCATTTCCTGACTACACCTTCAATTTAGAAGCATCCTTCAGCGACCTTCAGGTAAATTTATTATTGGGCCGGAAATGCCTTGCTCAATTCCTGAGTTGGAATTGTTTATTCTTTTCAGTACGAGTACGTCCGGGAAGTGTACACTACATCAGTACCAGGATTCATGTCACAAATAGGAGGTCAGTTTACTAACTCTGCGAGGCTAGCGTGCGCAATGTCTTTACCGAACCACGATGACAAGCTTTTGAACGTTTTATTCAATGAGCAGCACTCAAAGATACAGTACAGGCAGATCGACCAGGCGGGGACTGTATCTTCGTGCTTGGCGCCCCATCCTCTTCATCGGCTGAGGAGAAAGGGCGCGCCAGTGAGCAGGCATACTAATTGAGTCCCTCCGCCCATGTCTCCCGCTCAGGGCACATCGTTGGTTGGAGAATCCCCAACAGGGGGGTCGTATTTGGCCGCCAGGGAGGGGGGTCGTACGGGCTCGACCAAAATCCCCAACTGATGCTGTGCCCTGCTCCCGCTCGATCAAGGCGGACTCAACTTTTGAACCTACACTGACATCTTCACTGTACTAAGTTTAATAGTAGTGTATTTAAGGACAATTCGGATTTTTCCTTGGGCTGTCCATCATTACTCTACTGCAAATGATCCTGTATGGCATTCACTTCGTGCTGACTACTGTGGCGGAAAAAGCTAGACGGGTTTATACTATCTCCACGTCTTTCATATACAGCGACACCGGTGAAAAAGGTAAATTTGAGTTTCAGGATGAATCATCGATAGTCTGAATGGATCGTTCCAATTCACCACTTAAAGGGGTACTGACTTATGGGACTTTTAGTCCATGATCTTTTCTCGTACAGTCTTATTCGGTGTGGATGCAGGGTACAGAATCGTCGTGTGAAACATGTGGGGGAGGGTCGTACTTGCCGCTGGGGAGGGGGGGAGGGGTCGTATGTGCCTATGAGGGAAGTTTGTCGCGTTGGGAAAAAATTCTCTCGGTTGCTGGCTTTTCGCGGTTCTCCGCGTTCCCTCCTCCCTCCGCCCCTCGCTCTATGAAAATTTCTTGGGGGAAAAGTAGCAAATTGTCGAGAAATTCCGGACAAATTGGTAGGAAGCTGGGAACATAGAGGAAAGTGGTAAAGTGGGAGGTAGGCGTCGGGGAAGGGAGGGGGTGGCACCGAGACCTTCCTCCAAGGGTCGCACTGACATCGCCATTTCACACGTCACGATGCTGTACCCTGTGGATGGGGTGTATCAAGGGAAAGGCTTGGGCGGCGCCAGCCTGCCCTTTTCTTGTATTTTTTTCTATCGGCAATCGACAAGACTGCATCCATAACCAAACGTTGTCGCTTACCTGCTTCAACAACTGGCGGAAAACGAAATGGTGGCACGCCAAACACAGCCTTACGGACACGCCTCTTCATCCGCAGCCAGCAAGACTGTACCGCTAACTAAGGGGCGACCTTTGCTCAAGACCCGACACCTAAATGAAGTTACCTTCTTTTCAAGAAGACTCCGGAAGTACTGCTGTTGCACATGACGGAGTGTCTATAGTTGCTCGACGTTCACTGGATGGGTTCGTATCTCGACGGTCAGTGAATGGGACAGCCGTTTCTGGTCAGCTTCCATTCACGTTCGACATGTGAACATCAATTTTGAGCGCCAAGTCATACATTTCGGGTTCATAACGTTGTTAATGTTTTTGTATGTACGTAATGGATGTAATATTTGTTGATACTTCATTATTATTCGATAAACTAGTTTTGTTTTTTGTTCGAGCACACTCTTCAGAACTATTTTGCACGTAATTTTTAAGGGAGAACTATTCTTCCCTACTAGTTTGACCATGAGAACATCGGGCTGTAGAAAAAGGAGAAACAAGAGCACCTCAATCATTGTTTCTGCTCCACACACAACCTAAAGCAAGCGGTTTCAGTTTCAGCGAATGTTCAGCTTTTTATTCAGTAGATTCTCGGAAATGTCGCGCCGATTCCTGCTCATCTGTTCCCACGGAGGCCTTAAAAGCGAGAGAAACTATGTTGTAGAATCCTCAAGGACTGATGGCGGTCTGATGTGGTGCCGTAATCGCTTAGGCAGCGTTCATAATTCGCGACGGCAGCGCTTCGGTCGCGCGTTCGGCGCGATCGATGCGCATGCTTTCCTGCATCGATCGCGTGAACGCGCGACCGAAGCGCCACCCTCGCGAAGTCTGGACGCTGCCTTAGAAAGGTTAGGATGAGGACTTTTGAAAAAGCTTTTCATTTTTTTGGATGGGAGCGGAGGGATGAGTTAACAGTACGTGAAGACAGAGCTCACAGAGCATTGTCGTGCTTGAATTTGCGGTTGAGGTCAAAAGTCCTGCTGAACGATCATCCTCCAGTAACCATCTGAAGTGACTTGATCTCAAGACAAATTAGGCGGTTTGATTTGATCGGCGCCTAGT